ATTCTGGGACAGCTGCATCTGGCACGGGCGTCAGGCTGCTTCTACTCATGGCAGAAAGTGGCAGGCAGCTGGCAGGTACAAGCAGATCACATGGCGAGAGGAAGCAAGAGAGTAAAGGTTTGGAAAATTTGCAGCCTGGCTATGTGGTGAAGAAGTAGAGAGAGAGAGAAGGTGCCAGGGTCTTTTTAAGCAACGAGCTCTCGCGGGAACTAATAGAGCAAGAACTCACTCATTAATCCCCCGTCCCCTAGGGGAGAGCATTAATCCATTCATGAGGGATCTGCCCCTAGGACTCAATCAGTTTCCAACACTGCCATGTTGGAGACCAAATTTCCACATGAGTTTTGGAGGGGACAATACATCCAAACTCCATCAACCATAATATGTCTTAGAGAGTATGTTTTTGGGTTGAATCTGTTTGGGGATCTTTGAACTTCCTGGATCTGGATGTCTGTGTTTCTCACTATACCAGGGAAGTTTTTATTATTATTTTGTTGAATAGGTTTTTCATGCCTTTTTCTTTCTCCTCCCCTTCTGAAACCCCCGTGATTTGAATGTTTGTGCATCTAAGGTTTTCTGTTAACTCTCTTAGATTTTCTTCATTTTTTAAAATTCTTTTTTTTTTTTTTGTCTGGGTTATTTTGAGATTATCTTCGAGATCAGAAATTCTATTTTCTGCTTGATGTAGCTTGCTGCTGTTATGTTTTTTATTTTGCTGAGTGAATCTTTCAGTTCCATGAATCCTGCTACATTCTTTTTTAAGGTCTTAGTCTCTTTGTAAGTTTCTGCCTTTGTATCCTGGAATTTTTTTCTCATTTCATTATGTCGTCTAACTGAATCTTCTCATATCTCAGTGAGTTTTCTTAAGATTGTTGCTTAGCCTTAGTCTCTTTGTAAGTTTCTGCCTTTGTATCCTGGAATTTTTTTCTCATTTCATTATGTCATCTAACTGAATCTTCTCATATCTCAGTGAGTTTTCTTAAGATTGTTGCTTAGAATTCCTTTTCAGTCATTTCAAGGGTTTCCTGCTCTATAGGGTATGGTATTTGAGAATTCCTGTGTTCTTTTGGTGGTGTCATATTTTCTTGGATTTTTGTATTTCTAGTATCTGTACGTTGATGTCTGGTCAGAGCAGGTGCTTCTTCTGTTACTCTGGAAAGGGGTTTGAGAAGAGAGACGTCCTCTTCTTTTTCCAGTCTCTGCTGGTGACACTCCTTGTGTCACTACAGTCAGGGGTCTGGTGAGCTGCCTGCATAGTAGCTGTGGTGGGCCCCTGCTTAGAAGTGGTGTTTTTGTCGTGCTCCTTTCTTCCTTTCAGGCAGGAGATGCTGCCCCTCAGCCTCTGCCTAGGCCCCCACTTGTGCTCTGCTGCTTGCTTGCTTCCAGGCGGAGAGGGCTGCTGCCCTCAGCTCCTGCCTAGGCCCCCGGCGTGTCCTCTTGCTTGCCTGCTTCCAGGTGGAGCCACACTGTCTCAATTACTGTAGCTTTGTCTTGAATGTGTTATCTAGTGATATCCAGTAGTTTAAATCCTCCAGCATTGTTTTTCATTAAACTTGGCTTTGCTACTTTCTTATTCTTGGCTATAATTAGTTAGTTTCTGTTTCTTATAACAAAATACCTGGAACTGGGTGATTTATAAAGAAAACAAAATTTATTTGTCTATAGTTTTGGAGGTTGGGAAGTCCAAAGTCCAGAGAACATGTCTAGTGAGGGTCTTGGTGATGGTGATAGTGATCCAGGGGTCTCACATTGCAAGATAGTGGAGGCAGAGAGAGACTAACCTCCTCATTCACTCTACTTTTAAAGCCCTCCAAACCCATGCATTTGACCACCATTTTTAATCAATTCATTATAGCATGATCTTACAATCCAATCACCTCTTCAAGGCTCCACCTTTCAATTACCATTATAGGATTTCCCACTTTCTTAACACTCACAGTGGGGGCTGAGTTTCTAATACTTGAAACTTGGGAACACAATTCAAGGTTCAGTGAGTTTTGGGGGAGCATAATTCAATCCACTACATTGGCCCTTTGCATTTCTGTTTAAATTTTAGGATCACCTTGTCAGTTCCACACTGCCTCCCTCAAGTTTGTTGGAACTTTGGGATTGAATTGACTTTATAGACTGATTTTAAGGAGCACTGATATCTTTATACTTTTGGGTCTTCCAATCCACTAGTATGGTATATCCTTCATTAAATTTGGTCTTGGGCTGGCCCTGTGGCTCACTCAGGAGAGTGTGGTGCTAGGAGCGCCGAGGCTGCGGGTTCGGATCCTATATAGGGATGGCCACTGTGCTCGCTGGCTGAGCGTGATGTGGACCACATCGTGCCGAGGGTTGTGATCCCCTTGCCGGTCAAGGAAAAAAAAATTTGGTCTTAATTTCTTTCAACTATGTTTTATAGTCTTTTCTACAAAAATCTTGCCCATCTTTCATTATACAGTTGCCTCTCAGTATCTGCAGGGAGGGGATGGGTTCCAGGACCTCCGCAGATATCTGAATCCATGGATGCTCGAGTTCCTGATATAAAATGGCATAGTATTTGCATGTAACTGATGCACATCCTTCCATATACTTTAAATCATCTCTAGATTACTTATAATACCTAATACAATGTAAATGTTATGTAAATAGTTATACTCAGTTGTTTATGGAATAATGACAAGGAAAAAAATGTCTGTACACGTTCAGTATAGACACAGTCATTCTTTTTCCCCCCCCAATATTTCCCTCCCTCTCCCCTTTTTTTGGTGGCTGGCCAGTATGGGGATCCAAACCCTTGACCTTGGTGTTATCAGCACCATGCTGTACCAAATGAGCTAATCTGCCAGCCCCTAATAATTTCTATCTATAGTTGGTTGAATCCATGGATGCTGAATGCTTGGAAATGGAGGGCCAACTATATTTTTTGCTAGGTATTTCATGCTTTTGATGCTATTTTAAGCGCCACCGGGCCGGCCCAAGTGTTTTGTTTTTTTTTAAATTTTATTTTCCAATTGCTTTTTGCTAGTATATAGAAATAAGATACATTTTTATATATACTTTGCATCCTGTGACCTTGCTAAATTTACATATTAGTTTCAGTAGTTTTTTGTACATTCTCTAGGATTTCCTATATATGTTATCATGTTGTTTGTGACTAAAGAGTATTTTACATCTTCCATTCCACTCTTTATGCCTTTTATTTATTTTCTTGCCATATTGTACTGGCTAAAAGTATACATGACTGAACAGAAGTGGTAATAGTGGACATCTTTGCCATTTTCTTCTCTCAGGGGGAAAATTTTCAATATTTTATAATATGTAGTCATATTTGTTTTAGTTTTTTTTTTGTAGATTCCCTTTATCAGGTGAAGAAAGTGGAAGTTTGTGATTTTGGTCTCCTTTCTCCTGCTATATCCCAAGTATCTAGAGTAGTGCCTGGCACATCTTGGGTGCTTAATAAATACTTGAATTAATGAATGTGTATATGTATGTGTATGTTGCACTGACAAGATCTCTTCATGTATTGGATGTGAGGTATGAGAAGAAGAGAAGATTCACGGGTGCCTGATTCTGAGATTTTGGCTTGAGGAGTTAGAAGGATGGAATTCTCAGTGATTGAGGTGGGGAAAACCTCAGGGAGCAGGTTCTGGGTGTAGGTCAAAAGCTAGGATTTAGATTTGTTGGGATTTGAGATGACAGTTACACTTCCAAGAACCAATATACAAGGCAGTGGATATGCAAGTCTGGAGGTCAGGGGAAAAGGTCTATGTGAGTCATTAGCCCCAAAATGGACTTTTAATGTTGAGAAGTGTTGATCTTGACTAGTAGGATTTCTTTTTATGATGTTGTTCTGCCTCAATGTACAGTAAATCTTTTATTATTCAGAAGCCAGTTTTTCTTTTTTATGGGAAAACCAGGTCTTGCTTCTTTCTTCAACCTGTGTTTTATTTCTCATTTACACGAAAAATTCAGCTGTCTGCTATAGAACAATGGCCGCTATGGCAAAAAAAAAAAATATTGGGTATGATATTCATTGTACTTAGGGATGTTTTACTTTCATAGTCTTTATTCTAGGTCCTTTTGTATTTTTTATAGCTTTAAACCTGTAGCAATTATTTTTGTGAATATTTAAATTCATAAACTTATGTGTTTTGTCTTACTGCCCCTCACAATTACAAAAATGTTTTTATATTATATCTCAAAATGAGTTTGTTATGTGACTTATCTTACAAGTTCCTTAGTTCAAAAGCATACTTTTCATTGAAGAAGTGATTGGAAAAAAATACATATCGTAAGACATTGTATGTTTGCATTCTTATGTTACTATAATCATGCTTTTCATAGAAATAGGAGATAAATATATTTGGATTTGTGATTTAAAGTTATAAAATGATTTTTTTTTTTTTAGGTGAAATTGCTAACTACATGGAAACAGTGAGATTACTGGACTATACCCAAAAACCTCTTTATCAAAATTTACGTGATATTCTTTTGCAAGGACTAAAAGCTATAGGGAGCAAGGATGATGGCAAACTGGACTTCAGTGTTGTGGAGAATGGAGGTTTGAAAGTAAAAGCAATATCAAAGGTGAATTTTGTTATTAAATTGTCCTTTGGACATCTTGTGATTATAATTGCAACAAATACTAATTTTAGGAAAGTAAAGCAATAGCTCAGTGAAGAAAATAATGACAGATTGCTTGGCAATAAAGTATTTGTGAACACTATGTAAAGGAAAACTTTTTATACAGAAAAATGTATTAGGGATTGTAGAAAAATAAATATTATTATATTTCTTATTTCTGGTAGCAAGTTATTAACTTTCTAAAATGATTCTTACTTGGGATACTGATATTTGGCAGAGGGATTTTGATGGAGCACTGAATTCATAATTTATTTGTTTTTTTTCTCAAGTCATCTCTTATGGTTGATCTTATCTCTCAGTTTCTCATTGTTTGTCTCTCAGTTTCTTTGTGGGTATGGTCAAAGCATTTACCATTTGAAAATTGGTATTTAAAAAATTACCATTTGGAAATTACCATTTGAAAGTTTTCTTGTTTGTTGGTGTGGTGTGTTTACCATTTGAACATTATTTTGCTCTTTAAAGAAATGTCATTATGTGAAGCTATATATATCTCCATATGAGGGGATTAATTTTTTGGAGAGAAATTTTAAGAGATAATAAACTTTATGGTAGAAGTATTTTACAAGCATGTAAAGAAGTTGTGGAAGCACTTTAAAATTTAGATTTCATAGTTATGCATGAAGTTATTGGTTATTTTTGATAATTGATTTATTGATAAACTTACTGATTTCCTTCATAATCTGAAGTTATTTAATAAAAAGTTAGTTTTTTAATATGGTAAAAGAAAATTACTTTTAGAAGAAAAACCATTTTTACATTATCATTATTGACCCTTTTTTCCATCATTTACTCTGTAAATTCTAATCTCTTTGGAAATCTCATATTTCAAACTGTGAGAAAGTGTTAAAAACAAATTTTCTTTCTTTAATATCAGAAGCAGCATATTAAAAGATTTTCATAAGTCTTTTTGACTTACAAAGGAGATAGAAATTTTGAAATTGGATCATGAATTTGACTTTCTTTGGCAAATAGGCATCTTTGTAATTTCATCATAGAATCTGAAATTGTACACATGCATCTACATATTTTTTTTTCCCCACAAGGTTTGTCTTAATGGCATCTGCCATTAAGAATCGGGTAGTACAGTACAAAAGTTATTAAATTCAATGTGTACTCTGAAATCAACATTCAGCAGTTATGTATAAGGTCTAGTTTATGTACCTGGTCTAGGCTAGGTCTCTGGGGCACAAAGGTCAATAACATGTAGTTCCATCCTTAAATAATTCTTCCCTGTCCTGTCTGGGTTAAGAACAGCTTAATTTACTGGAAAGAGTTCAGCAAGTTACAAGGACATTAATACCTCCATTAGCTATTTTCTTCTAGGGTTTTGATTAAGTTGCCTGCCCAAGTCAACAAAAAGGGCTGTTGATTGGAATCTGTTGAGTGTCATCCCTGGAGATTCATTGAGTAGGTCTAGAGCATGGCCCTGCAATTTGTGTTTTGTTTTATATTTTCAGAGAGTATGTGTTGTTGCTCCCTGTGAATGATGTATACATACCCTTCTTTCTTTCTTCCCAGTTTTTCTAATTTTTAAATTTTATTTTTTTAGTTATATTATGCTAATTGGCCTTTCTAGAGTTTCTCTGAAAAATCATTAACCATTGTTAAATGAATCCCTGCTGGCACTCAGCCTGGAACAGGGTACAAAGAGTTGAATAAGAGCAAAAGCCTTCCATTGCAAATCAGTAGCCTGCAGCTGCTCTAGTGGACAGCTCTCTTCCTGTCTGTCTGAGGTTATCACACCTCATGCAGTCTTTATACCATGAAACCTATAGTTTGTCAGATTGCCCCAAACATACCCTCTAAATTTGGTGAAATTCTATTTATCTGTTTTAGCATGATATAATAATAGAAATAAACTGTACTTTAATTATGTAAATTTAGATTATTGAAGTTGATATATTTGTTTTCTAATGGCTAGGCCATAGTTCTATATTTAAGTGGATTCAGTGTTTACTAATAATTTTCCTCCTTACGTCTATTATTGAGTTCTTTATTTTGAACCTTCTCTTATTTGACTGAATTTTGTCAAGTAGCTTTTTCCCCCTAAATTTTTAAGTGGGATTATGTACAGAAAAGGGCATAAATAAATGTGGAATTTGAACTTTACAAAGTGAACATATGCATTTAAACATCACCCAGATCAAGACATGGATCATTACCAGAATTAGTTTTGCCAATTTTTTTTTTGAAATTTGTAGTAATGGCATCATATAGTATGTATGGTTTTGTGTCTTTGATTTAATCTTATGTCTGAGTTCCATGCTGTAGCATGTAACAAAAGTTTGTTGTTTTTGTTGCTGTATAGCACTCCAATATGATTTTACCATAATTTATTTATCCCTGCTAATATTGATGGATCTTTGAATGGCTTTTAGTTTTTGGCAGTTGTGATAATGCTGTTAAGAACATTCTTATACTTTTTTTTAGAAAACATATATATTTATTTCATGTTGAGTGTACAGTAGTTTCTTCTGGGGATACATTCCAAGACCCCCAGCAGATGCCTGAAACCGCAGATAGTACTGAACCATATATATACTATACTTTGCTTTTTTCAATCTGATAAGTGAGACGGCTCCTAAGTGACTAACGGGTGGGTAGCGTATGCAGTGAGTATACGCTGGACAAAGGGGTGATTCACGTTTCAGTCTGGACAGAGCAGGATAGTGTGAGATTTCATTGTGCCACTCAGAATGGCGTGCAATTTGAAACGTACGTTTATTTCTGGAATTTTCCATTTAATATTTTTGGACCACAATTGACTGTTATGGGTAACAAACCATGGAAAGAGAAACTATGGATAAGGGGTGGGTCTACTGTAATACATAATGGAGTTACCATAGAGGCATAGGACATGTTTATACATATGTTAAGCTTTAGTAGATACTGCCAAGCAGTTTTCCAAAGCTACAGTCTCAGTTTACGCTCTCATCAGAACCTTATGAGAGTTCCAGTTGCTCACTGACATTAGCTATTTGCATTATATTTAATTTATTTATTTTGGTGGGTGTGTACTGATTTTTTTTAAATATAGTTTTAATTTACTCACTTTGAAGAATATTAATTTTGAACACTGTTTCATATGCTCCACAGCCTTGATTATCCTTTTTTTGTGAAGTACATTTCAGGTCTTTTGTCCCCTGAAGAAATTGGATTGTCAGCTTTCTTTTGATTTGCTAGAGTGGAGTACTTTGTTTGTGTACAATATATACGTTGCGTGTATCATCTTCCAGTCAGTGGTTTATCTTTTCACTCTCTTAATTTGGTTTCTTTTGGTGAACAGAAGTTCATTTTAATGAAGCCCAGTTTATCAGTCTTTTTGTTTATGGTTAGCGCTTTTTGCATTCTATTTTTTCTACCTTATTTTTATTTTTATTTCTATTTTTGTCTACCTTAAGATCATGAAAATATTGTTATTTTCAAGAAATTTTATCTTATTCATCATATTTAGGTCTACAATTTAACAGAAATTGATTTTGTGCATGGAATGAGTCAATATTTATTTTCCCCCTTTGGATATCTAGTTGATCTGAACTATTTATGAAAAAGACCGTAATGTCCCCACAGCATTGCAGTGGGCCCCTGGGTAACCTTATGTGTTTGGGTCTGTTTCTGGATACTGTCCACAGAAATTAAGGCTGTCAATGCAGAAATAATTTTGTACAGTTTATTGGAAGCCAAATGTGTGAAACACTATTGTCAGAGTCAGAGAAATGCAAATAACAAAGGCTTTGTAGACAGAAAAGTCTGAAGAAAGCAGAAACAAAAAACAAAAAATGGATCAGTCATTTCAGTTACTTTTCTTGAAAAGTGGGTGCAGGGAGACTAAACAATAGGAAAATAACTGATCAGTTAACATCAGGTTACTTCAGGCAGTCTCTTTTGTGTAAGGATTCAAGGAGAGGGAAGGAACTTCATTATCATACCTATTAAAGATTTAAACTGGCCTTTTCCCGGGAATTGGCTGTATTTCTTTCTCTTGACTTCTCACAAGGTCTCAGACCACAGCATTAGTGATGTGGAACTTACCAGAGATGACCCCATTTTAATTTTTAGCCTGGTCTGTTGGGGCCCAGTGCAGGAACTTAGTCCAAAACAATGGCCTCTGATAATTTTTTTTTAACAATACCCTATTCTGTACCATTGCCTGCTTGTCTATCTTTGTGACAGTGGCTCATTGTTTGAACTGCTGGCTTCATAATGATATATGATAGTGTAAAAATCCTCCAACTTTGTTGTTCTTCTTTAAGACTGTCTTTGCTATTCTTGGCCCTTTTAAAGTTACATATAAATTTTAGAATCGGCTTATTAATTTCCACAAAAATACTTCTGGGATTTTGATTCTAGTTGCATTGACTCTAAATCAATTTGGGGAGAACTGTCATCTTTACAATGTTCTCTTCTCTTCCATGAACCTGGTATACCCCTATGTATATTTAGATGTTTTTTCATTTATCTCAGTAACTTTTGTACTTTATTGTCTGTAGAAGTTATACACAAATTTTGTCTATTTCCTATTGAATACTTAATTCTTAGTCTATTTCTTTTGCATTGTCTGATTATCCCAAATCTTTTCATCATGTCATTCAGTTGTCAACTATGTCTGCTGTATTTTTTCTATCTCTAAAATATAGAGAGAGATTTATAAGTTCTATAATGATTATTGTTCTGTTTGTTTAGCTATGCAGTTTTCTTGTTATACCTTTGTTTTCCTTTTTAAAAGTCATTTTCTCAATTTTTAAGTGTACTTTTTTAAGCCTCTGGCACATTTTATAAAATTTTCTTCTTTTGGGGAGGATTATGTTTTCTTTCAGAGTGGAGTATTTAGTTATCTTTTACATGCTATAAATATTTTTCATTTTCTCTTTTGTATTTGTGAATCTTTGACTTTCTTATCTTATGAGACCGTTTTTTTTCCTTCATAGTTTGGATTTGAGGGA